GCTTCATTGCAGAGGGTGATACATTAAGTGTCAGATCAGTGTTTGTGCTTCATTGCAGAGGGTGATACATTAAGTGCCAGATCAGTGTTTGTGCTTCATGTCAGAGGGTGAAACATTAAGTGCCAGATCAGTGTTTGTGCTTTATGTCAGAGGGTGAAACATTAAGTGCCAGATCAGTGTTTGTGCTTCATGTCAGAGGGTGAAATATTAAGTGCCAGATCAGTTCTTGTGCTTTATCAAAGATGGTGAAACATTAAGTGCCAGATCAGTTTTTGTGCTTTATCACAGATGGTGAAACACTCCCATTCCCTCTACATAATTGGAGATAGCTAATGTCACTATCATCGTTTCAGTTATATATTTTCTGTGTCTGAATCGTCTAAATGAACAAATACCATTATTCAACACGTACAAACAAGTGCCGAGTTCGACGTTTCATGTATTTGCCTCCTCGTTGTAACTTCTCAAACACAAGGCTTCCTGTTTTCCAGCGACTTTAACAGAGCATGCATTAAGAACAAAAGGGAAAAAAAGATGTAATTTGACAAATTTAGCATGCTGCAAAGAAGTAATAAGACCAGGATATATTTCGCCCATTGATGTCAACGAAGAAGATACAGTACTTCCTCGTTGACTGAAGACTTAGCTTCCTACTCACCATCACTTACCATCCCAGCACAAACACGTACCTGCACCATCTTACCGAATAAGGGTCATTGACTTCGAGGGCAAGGGGAACCTATAAATGCTGATGGACTTCTGTTCTGTAGTGTCATTATTTATATCCTGAAAGACGTCATTCACGCATACACTACATGTCTGAAGACTAATTATAGACAGTATTACACCATTTCAGGAAACGGCAGTCTATATCAAGCATGCCAGTTAATACTACTTTCCTATTCCATTTATTGTTATTTCAAACATCCAAGAATTAAATCCTAACAGGGTTGTGATTTTATCTAATATTGTATCTTTAAGTGGCGTTCAGAAGGTGTCGTATCAATGGAGACTAGTGGGCTTCAACTTCGATTTCAGTTTAATGAGTAGCGTATGAAAGTGGAATTTGCCAAGTAGGTGACAACTCTCCGGAAGTACACACTTCAACTATAAACATGGTCTGGAATCAAAACCAGATGAAAGGTTTGAAAGGAAGCCCCTTACCATATATATTTTTGTGTTTTTTCCATTTGAACACAATCCTATATTGATTATTCCCTTTACACAAATGCTTGAAACAGCTCAAAGGAGACAATCCTTAAAAGGGTGAACATTAAGTACATTTTTTGCCGCAGTCATTAAATTTCAACCATATCGCAGCAACCGGGAAACAACCTGGATCCCAATCTACAAAACGTTCGTAGGACTACGACATTCGTAAGCCTGTGATAGACTATATAGTTACGACAGGTCGTAACATTACGAAAGCTTTGTGGATCGGGACCGATGCCTGGAAATTGCAAGTACAACGTAACAGTGATGACCACAGTAACTCGGTGTACATACCGAACCGTACACTCCGATCTACACATTAACATATTCAACTCCGGTCTATTCTGTGACGGAGGTGTAACGCGATCACATTTGCACATTTGTGTCTCACGATCACGGAATAAGAAGATGCCAGTTTAATATTTCCAGTAAACTGAGACTAAACGCCGATACTAAAGAGAATGACGCGGGGATTCCAGCGCAGACAGAACGGAAGTTTTAGGACGGAATCTTCTGGAAGCTCTGTGTGTGCGTGTGTGTGTGTACACACACACACACAGATTCCGTCCTAAAAATATATATATATATATATATATATATATATATATATATTAGCGGGGGAAAAATTACTGTGCATAACGTAAATTTGCATAAAATATAAGTTATTTGAAAAGTTATATTAATAACCCTAAATAAACATGTAGCAAAGTACTTTGTATGAAATTTGATGTCTCGTGTGGCACGTGCACTTTGTCTACATTGAACAGTTTGCATGCTTTTTGACACCTTGAAGTTCACACACCTGATATTGGAAATGTAAGAACGGTTGATTGTTCTCTAGCCTCTAAATGTTGCGGAAAACACGTTAATTTCAACCTGAACGCTTACGTCATGCCACGGCTTATAAAATTAAAAAATCAGCGTCCCCGCGCCGTTGGTATGCTGGAGACTCGAGTGGCCAGACATTTTTGGTGGCCATCGAAACACGACCTCATGTCTATGTAGACGTTTTCAACATAATGGGAACACGATAGATTTGCCTCGGACCGGCCGTAGCATATAGGAGACAAGATTGGGATGGTGTCTTGTTCACTGATAAGATTTCATCTGGACAGCTCAGATGGCAGGACAAAGGTGTACAGACAGTGAGGTGAACGGTATGCTGACAGACAGCGTTATGGTATGGGGGAGCACCACATGTCATGGTCAGACATACCTTGTCATTGATACAGGGATGAGATCATTGGGCCTCATGTGCAGGCGTTCAGTCAAGGACAGAGACGTGACTTCAAGCTTCGGCAAGATACTGCCCGTCCACATGTCGCTCGTGTTATGACAGATTTCCTGAGACAGCAGAACATTCCCGTACTCCCTGGCCAGCTGTTTCTCCGGACCTGTCCCCTATCGAGCACACTTGGGATGAAATGGAGACAGGCCCGTTTTGGAAACCTGATCACAATAGGAGCTAGGTGACTATTACAATCACTGAATCTATTACTGACAGTTTCATATCATATATCCATTTTCTTGTTTGTACTACCATGGAGTACTTTCATATAATTACTTTGTAGTTCAAACACACCAACTATACTTACTCCACAATCAAGATTTCCGCTTGTAATTCTTGTTGGCACAGAAACAAGGTGGTGTTTGACATGCACTGATTGTCCCTACCCAGATATCACACTCAGTCCCCACTGTTTCTGGAATTCTTGGATTGGCGATACCAAATACACTGCTGACATCATGTTGGATACAATCTACAGTTCCTGGATTCACTACCTTTGTATATTTGTAATTATTTATGACGAAATATTGTGAGTTTGATATGTTTCTCGAATCTACAGTGGTGTATGCATATGATAAGCAGAGTGGTCAGAAATGATACCACTACACACTGCCCGCAGCTACCAACCAGTCCCCTGCAGAAGCCTTCATGTACAAACATTCCTGAGAACTGTTCTGGTATCTCGCACCTCCTTCCCTTCAGTAGCGGCACCGGTCAGACTGGTCAACAATGATGGACACAACAGGATATACTTGATAGCTATATACAAGTTTATTGTACAGAGTCAGTCAGTCTGCCGACTCAGAGGCATAGTAAACTACCGCAGTTGATATACACACAGGCACACGATATACAGCGAGTACACAGTCACATGCATATACAACACAAGCAGGTTAACATACAGCGTAATAACACTGAGATGGTCAACAGGAACACAATGACAGTCCTCGGGAAGTGGGGAACAAGGCATGTGGAAATGACAACTCAGATTGAAACTTCAGTTTGCTGGCTTAACAATCTAATTATACAACGACAATGAGTCAGTATCACACAGGGCATGTATTGCATACCATTCAGGAAGCGGAATCAGTGTGGAACTATCAGCAGGTCAGTGTATGGTGGCCACACCTGCAGGTGTAATGTTGGGCCAGTAATACTGGTAGAGAAAACCTAGTACAGCTGATCACTACGACCAACCCGATATTCACTCATCTTCCTGATTCAACCAAAGTTGTTCCACAGAATATTTCATAAGTTTGATCAGATGAAACACAAAGGTGTTGATGTGTTGAGCTGACCCTTCCTCATGGTGTGACTCGCCTGTCCGTGGCAACCAGACTCCCACCAAGTATTGAGGCAAGGAAGCACTATTTCTCGTAGTGAGTGTACATGTCATAATCTGGATGATCAGTTAAACCCAGCCTCGTTCAGTACTACACACTGGCCACCTACACTGGCTGTAAACTGACAATGTACTACCAGCCCTATTGACAGCACCATACCTGGAAGTACAAGACGAGTATGTCCACCTGCAGTGTAGAGGTAGGGTCCTTCTCACATGATTATTGCAATAATGGTGGCTGTAAACAGCTGACAACAAAACCCACACAACTGAGGCACTGAACTCCAACTTTGGGCTATCTGTCTTTGATTCCACCAAATATTCAGTAAACCATAAAACTACCAGTTGTGGAACTGGAATACACAAACTGTTGTTTACAAAATATACCTTGCATCACAGAGCACAGACAGACTTGCATAAATAAGTGAAATATACTGTATTATCCATATCCTTGTGACACACACTAACTCTACCTGGAGCCACACTGATTCTCAGCTGTGTTCACCGACGTATTCAGGCACTGGTCAAACCAGCTGGTGAGGATGTGCCACAGATAATGGTGGGATGTAACGATTCATGTGAATAATATCAACAGCCCCATATTCCGATGACTATAAGACACACCTGTACAAGTATCACAGATTCTCATAAAGATAGAAAAATAATTTAAAACTACATCTACAACATGGACATCAGTGGGTGGAATGAGATCAAAACATCAACCCCAAGTAGCACATGCTGTCCAGTGCTGCACACATAGCCTTACCGGACCACACCGACACCCCACCCCACAGAACCCAGTCCGCCCCTGATTATTGTAAAGCAAGTTTCATCATACACATCTTCTCTCACAAAACGATTCTTTAAAACTCAGCTGTAAATATGCTTTGTCATAACTATTTTACCATTCCTCTCTGAATCACATCAGTGCTATTTACAGAGAGGCAGAGCTGGACAGCAGGATGTCCACAGGTCGTGATTCAGGTCGATGTTGACGGCGATACAGGTCGATGTGGTTCGTGATGCGAGAAACAATGGATGTCGCGCCTGAGTCGCAGCCGTCAGTCTGCTGCAGTCGCAGCCAAACACTTCAGTCTGTGGTCGGACCTGCAGGGTTATTTTTCTGCTGGTTGTCCAAACACTGGAATGTCTTGTTCTCCGTCAGACTTGTTCTCCTGTCATCGTGGAGTCAGAGCTTGTACAGGAGTAAATGCTCCAGCAAAGACACCGTCTGGAACGTCAGAGGAGAATTGTACATGAGTAAATACAAGTTCTGGAACGTCAGAGGAGAATTGTACGTGAGTAAATACAAGCTCTGGAATGTCAGAGGAGAATTGTACATGAGTAAATACAAGCTCTGGAACGTCAGAGGAGAAATGTTTATGAGTACTTCCTCTCTCTGAGAGAGTTGACATCACACAGGGTAAATCAGTACTTTCTGTCTTTGATCAAGTTGATATTTACAAATATTTGGAAAGCTACAATAAGTTATACATTTTCATCGAATTGTTTTCAAAACAGTAAAGAGTCTTTTTAAATATTTGTAAGAAACAAGAAGACAAAAGTCATCGATATCTGCTGCCAGATAAAGTATATGTATAAAATAACGAAAATGTATGTGGTACACCTCATTATACCAAGGTCAGTTGTTTGTTTGCTTGTTTGTTGTTTAATGCTACACTCATCTATATCCCTGCTACATGAAGTCAGCCCAGAGATTATGCAGATCCATGGATTGACGTTGTGAGTATTATATAACGGAATTGAGATGACACGTTATCATTGAAGTGAGCAAGCCTGATCCACCAGATCGTTCAGTTGCCTCAATCAACACATAGGTTGCTAGAGGCCTTTAGTTTCACCAAGAACCTTCACAGGTGGGCAACTCTAGGCAACTGTGGACATCTACAGACGCAATACACATGATGTAGTGTGAGGCTGAACAACACAAACACACATAACAAGACAGACATATACACACAAGTTGCCGTGTTGTGGGACATAACAAAGTAATGTGAGGCAAGGTGGAGTTTGGTGGGAAGCAGGGATCACAATCAACTGTTTTCTGGTGTTACGCTAACATGATCAGGTTACTTATTCAGGGCATTCACAGTACAAGGGAGGGAACTCTGGAAATGTACAACACAAATACCCTTGTCACTGAAGGCCAACAGGTTGGCATATTTTAATAACATCACACTAACTATATATTCACACTAACTTTCAAACAGGTTAACTTCACTGAAGTGTCTTTAAAAGAGTCAAGTTTCATGACCTAAGGACTATTCTGCCTTGTTCTTAAAAGGATTGTCCGACTCTTGAAACCTTGCTGCCCCAACTCTTGAAACCTTGCTGCCCCAACTCTTGGAAACCTTGCTGCCCGAACTCTTGGAAACCTTGCAGCCCCAACTCTTGGAAACTTTGCTGCCCCAACTCTTGGAAACTTTGCTGCCCCAACTCTTGGAAACCTTGCTGCCCCAACTCTTGGAAACCTTGCTGCCCCAACTCTTGGAAACCTTGCTGCCCCAACTCTTGGAAACTTTGCTGCCCCAACTCTTGGAAACTTTGCTGCCCCAACTCTTGGAAACTTTGCTGCCCCAACTCTTGGAAACTTTGCTGCCCCAACTCTTGGAAACTTCCTGCCCCAACTCTTGGAAACTTTGCTGCCCCAACTCTTGGAAACCTTGCTTTACAATAAACAAAGGTCCAAGAGACAAACTATCCACATCCCACTGAAGATCCAGGTAAGAGTTTGTCTTCAGCAAACCATTCATGATGTAAGAGAAAACTAACTGCATCATGTGGTTAGGCTGCTAACTTGGTTGATGCATGTCACTGTATCCCAACTGAATCAATCAATGCTCATGATTTCCATTTTAGAAGTTGTGAAGCTGAAGGAAAACCAAGTTCTAAGGATAACCAACTTCTTTATTGCAATGAGTGCGACGTCTCGGTGTAGGTACTAACATCATTATCAAGCAAGTGATGATGGTTTTCCTTAATGCTCATGATGTTAATCATTGGACATTCTCGTCCTCCATGGATTATTCACAGACAGCTATGTAACTATAGTCAGTGCAGCATTAATCACCAAACAAACATTATTCACACAGTAAGGGATCGTGTGTTGGCCACAAGTACCCAGGTGTTCTGGTTTTGCTCCAGGTATGTATCATGTACCAGCTGGAACTGAGGTATCTATCTACCTGGCATCTTTCAGTTCATGGCTGGTGTTATTGGTCACATATTCCTAAACACATCATGATCCAAAACTTAATTCTAAGGGACCTATCAATACAGGGGAAAAGATTCACTATATTTGGGATTTCACTTTCTCAGTAAAGATTCAAACATTTTTTCGGGATTTGAACCCAGACTCAGAGAGTGAGGCACCTGATCGTCACACCACAAACCTGGGTGAGTATGTCCAGCTGGCCTGCAATCTTCTCCATGAACTGGGTGAGCTGTGGAGGAATAGACTTAGACTCCAGGGGCTGTGTGACTGACGTGTACTCCCGGGAGCGTTGTGATGTGTCCGCGGCAGAGGCCATGTCATAGTCCGAGTGGAAGTGATCTGACACACCATTAGACAGAGTGGGCTGAAACAGACAAACAAACCTCCATATACAAGGTGAAGGGAACACAAGAACAGTCGAACTGAGTGATGATATCCAGATGCTCATTACTGTAGATCATCATGATGAACAACTTGACTATAGATGGCAACACATTACTTGAGAATAAACTATTTGAACAGCAAAGTTTATACAGGGGCCAAAACCCAACACCCTGCATACATCTTTCTACCTGTGAGGAGAAGAGGGCGGGGCCCACATCAGTGACCCCCGGGTCCTCGTCTGCCATGCAGCGAACCTCAGACCGTGCATCAAGCTGAAACACATACAGTGCCCATGTAGGATGTCTGATACACAAGCAAGACATCAGATATAGAAGCAATGCATGTAGGACCCATGCAATTCACATACAAGGCATCAATACACATCAAAGGCATCCAATACACATGCAAGAGACCCAATACATTATCAAGACATCCAATACACATGCAAGACATGAAATACACATACTGAACACCCACTGTAAAAAGACAACACCCTACACAATGCAGGACATACCCTATACATGCAACACATCCCCTGTTCACAGGAGACATCCAATACACAAGCAACACATCCAATACACAAACAACACATCCGATACACAAGCAACACATCCGATACACAAGCAACACATCCAATACACAAACAACACATCCGATACACAAGCAACACATCCAATACACAAGCAACACATCCAATACACAAGAAACACATCCGATACACAAAGCAACACATCCAATACACAAACAACACATCCAATACACAAACAACACATCCGATACACAAACAACACATCCTATACACAAGCAACACATCCAATACACAAACAACACATCCGATACACAAGCAACACATCCGGTACACAAGCAACACATCCGATACACAAGGAACACATCCGATACACAAACAACACATCCAATACACAAACAACACATCCGGTACACAAGCAACACATCCGATACACAAACAACACATCCAATACACAAGCAACACATCCAATACACAAGCAACACATCCGATACACAAGCAACACATCCAATACACAAGCAACACTTCCAATACACAAACAACACATCCGATACACAAGCAACACATCCTACACACAAACAACACACAAGCAACACATCCAATACACAAACAACACATCCGATACACAAACACATCCGATACACAGTGGTCATCCCAAACATATTCAGAACATCTATTCCGTGCGCAAGATGTTCAATAGACACATAGACCTGTTTCAGAAAGCACCACTACGGCTTTATCACAACAGTATATAAATAATCGAGTCTGGCCCTGGCACACAGTAACTAAATAAATCAGAAACAAGACCAGCTCAACCAAATGTCTGATAATTCTTCAATGAATGTACGCTACAGACAATATATCCCAAACTAAGTTCTCCCTGGGAGTTGGTAGCCATGCAGCACAAGAAGCATGAGGTACAGACTGACAGCCAACAAGACCAGCACAGACACTTACCCGTCTCGGGGATTTCCTCTGTGACCGTGGTGGTATATCTTCAACTGTGGGGGGTGCAGTGCCTCGTCTAGGGGGCAAGGCCTGGTTGAAGTCTATCTGGTCAAAGTTGGTCTTCCAGGCCAGCACCTGCAGCACACGAGGGCGGCTGTAGCAATGTGACAGGTCAAATACAGACCAGTAAAGAGAAACTGAGGACCTTTCGTTAGATTTAAAAATGAATAACCTTAAACTCTTTTCACATTGCTGAAGTGTTGAAATCAACATCCAAATAGTGTGCTACCTTTAGGTGATGACCACTTCAGTGCCAACAGAAAACAGTTTGAACTGGGTGGTAACAGGAAATTATCTCGGTTTTCATAATTGTGAAAGGGCATGACATTTCTGTACTGAGAGCCTGACAACTATTCCTCTAACATCTCTGCCATAGCGTTAAAGCATCCAAACGTGACTGAAATCCAGTAGTGATGCAAGGGAGATAATTTTCAGGTCAAAATTATCTCCCTTGAGACACCAACTGGAAACTTCACCCACCTGTTCATCTGCACCGCCTGTTGAGAAATACTCCCCATTTCTTGAGAATGCCACGGCAGTCACTGGGCCCTGGAACAAAACACACAGGTTAAAATCAAGTATGTGATACATGAGCTCACCGTATTCAGACCAACCAAACAAATACCAACAGAGGGCAAACAACTATGGAAGATGTACACACTTTACATAGGAATTTAACTGAACATAGTAAATCATGCAGCACTTGGCTTGATGTAGTCTCCATTCAAAATGTGGCAGGTTTTAAGTATTTTGATGCAGACTTTATGGGGATTGGGTCTTGTATGTAATTCCCACCTACACCCATGTAATTCGCACCTACAACCATGTAATTCCCACCTACACCCATGTAATTCCCACCTACAACCATGTAATTCCCACCTACAACCATGTAATTCCCACCCTTAGTTGGCACACAACCATGTAATTCCACCTACACCCATGTAATTCCCACCTACACCCATGTAATTCCCACCTACAACCATGTAATTCCCACCTACAACCATGTAATTCCCACCTACACCATTGTAATTCCCACCTACAACCGTATGTAATTCCTGACCACCTACACCCATGTAATTCCCCTACCTACACACCATGTAATTCCCACCTACAACCATGTAATTCCCACCTACAACCCATATGTAATTCCCACCTACACCATGTAATTCCCGTACCTACAACCATGTAATTCTCACCTACAACCGTATGATTAACACCCTACAACCAATGATTCCACCCTACACCCATGTGATTCCCACCTACAACCATGTAATTCCCACCTACAACCATGTAATTCACACCTACAACCATGTAATTCCACCTACAACCATGTAATTCCCACCTACAACCATGTAATTCACACCTACAACCATGTAATTCACACCTACAACCATGTAATTCCACACCTACAACCATGTAATTCCCACCTCCACACCATGTAATTCCACCTACACCCATGTAATTCCCACCTACAACCATGTAATTCGTGACCTAAACCATGTAATTGCACCTACAACACATGTAATTCACACCTACAACCATGTAATTCCCACCTACACCCCTTTGTAATTCCCACTCACACCCATGTAATTCCCACTCACACCCATGTAAATCACACCTACACCCATGTAATTCCCACCTACACCCGTGTAATTCCTACCTTACACTGATGTAATTCCCACCTACAACCATGTAATTCTACCACCACAACCATATGGGCTTCACACCTACAACCATATGTAATTCCCACCTACACCCATGTAATTCCCACCTACACCCATGTAATGCCCATACACCCGTGATTCCACCTACACCCATGTAATTCAGCACCTGCAAACCATGTAATTCCCACCCACAAATCATGTAATTCCACCTACACCATGTAATTCCCACCTACAACCATAATGGTCACACCTACACCCATGTAATTCCTACTCCTACACCCATGTAATTCAAGCGACCTACATGTCCATGTAATTCCACCCACACCCACATGTAATTCCCACTCTGTCCACTATGTAATTCCCACCCACACTCCATATGTAATTCCCACTCACAACCATGTAATCATACACTCTACAACCATGTAATTCACACCCCACAACCATGTAATTCACACCTATGTAATCACTAATTCCATACCATGTAATTCCCACCTACAACCATGAAATTACACCTACAACATATGTAATTCCCACCTACACCTATGTAATTATACCCTACACTCCATGTATCTGCATTCTAAAACCATGTAATTTGTGACTCTACAACCACATGTAATCATACACTCTATACCCATGTAATTCACACTTACACCTATGTAATTCTCCAAGAACCTATATGTAATTCTACCTAAGCATCATATGTAATTCTCCTAATTCTACAATTTCATGTGATTCCCACCTACACCCATATGTAATTCCCACCTACAACCATATGTATCTGTGACTCTACAACCATGTAACTCCTACTCTTTTACACCTATGTATTCCTACCTACACCCACATGTAATTCCCACCTACAACCACATGTAATTCTAATCTTACACCCATGTAATTACACCTGCAACCATGTATTCCTACCTACCCGATGATTCCCACCTCACACTCATGTAATTCCCACCTACAACCATATGTAATTCCTAACTCTACACTCCATATGTAATTCCCACTCTTACAACCATGTAATTCCCACTCCACACCCATGTAATTCACACTCCAAAAACCATAATTCCTGACTACACCTAAGGGATTCCCACTTCTATGTCCATGTAATTCTGCCCCACAACCATGTAATTTTCAGACTCTACAACTATAATTCTACCCCACACTCCATGTAATTAGACTTTACACTATTATGTAATTCTAATTTATTAACTGGACATGTGATTCCTACCTACACCCATAATTCCTACCTTACAACCATGTAATTTACCTACAACTATACCCCACCTACAACCATGTAATTCTAATTTACAATCCATATATGTAATTCATACTCTACAACCATGTACCTGTAGCTCACAACCATGTAATTCTAATTTACACTCCATGTAATTCACACTCCCAACCATGTAATTGCACCTACAACCATATAATTCCCACCCCACACCGACATGTAATTCCCACTCTACAAACATATAATTTCACTCACAACTCCATGTAATTCCCACTCCAAGACCCCATGTAATTTCACCTATTAACCATGTAATTCTGCACTCTACAACCATGTATTCTGTCTCATAAATCCAATTTCCACCTACACCATTGTGATTCCCATAATACCTGCACCATGTACCATTAATCTTCCACCTACACCCATGTAATTCCCAATTTCCACAACCATGTAATTTCTAATTCTACAACTATGACATTCCTAATTCACACATTCCATGTAATTCCCACTCTACACCCATGTATCTGTGACTTCCACCTATGTATTTCATTTACAACCATGTAATTACACTCTACAAACTATAATTTCTACCTTCATAAACATATAATTCTAATTTACAACTATGTAATTCCCACTCACACCATGTAATTCCTAGACCCTTACAACTCTGTAATTCCACACCACATGTGGGTCTCTAATTTGTGACTAATCTACAACCATGTAGTTCCTAAGACTCTACACCTATGTAATTCAGACTTCACACCCATATAATTCCCACCTACACCGATGTAGATTCTACCTACACCCTAGTGTAATTCTACTCCATAACCATGTAATCTCATAACTCTTACACCCATATGTAATTCCCACCCCACAACCATGTAATTCCCACCCCATAACCATGTATTCACATCTCCACAACCATGTAATTGTGAGCTACACCATAGTTCTACCTACACCCATGTAATCCATGTAATTTGCACCTCACAACCTAATGGTCAGACTCCTACACTCCATGTAATTCTACTCCACCCATGTAATTCCTCCAACCATGTAATTCTAATTCCTACAGACTGACATGTAATTCCCCACCTACACCTATGTGGGTTCCCACCTACACTCTATGGATTCTAAATGTCTATGTATGTCTTGGCACCTTCACAAACTATGTATTTCCCATCTACACCCATGTAGGATTCTTAATTTACACCATATGTAGAATTCTCACTCACACCTACATACCCATGTAATTCCCACCTCCAACTATGTAATTTCTACCTACACTTAGAGCAACAATAATGCTATAAACCATGTAATTCCCTAATCACCACAATCTTATGTAATTCCTGACCTACACCCATGTAATTCAGACTCCATGGGCAACCTTAATTCACCACTCCACAACCATGTAATCTCACACTCTACAACCATGTAATTCCCACCATAATTCACCTACACCATGTAATTCCCACCTACACTCCATGTAATTCCTCGGTGACCTACAATCTAATTCCACCTCCACACCCATGTAATTCTCTGCACTCACAACCATGTAATTCCTCAGACCTACAACCATGTAATTCCCACCTACAAACATACTACACCTACAACCATGTAATTCACACCTACAACCATGTATTTACACTCTTACCAACCATGTAATTTCACCTACAAACTTATGTAATTCACACCCCAACCCATGTAATTCACACCTACACACCTATAATTTGCACTCTAAACTGGATGGATCTGCACCTACAACCATGTAATTCCTACCTACAACCATGTAATTCAAATTTCCACTCCACATGTAATTCCCACTCTACACCCCATGTAATTCAAACCTACACTCATAATCCAGACCTACACCCATGTAATTCCCACCCTTACACCCATGTAATTGGCACCTACACCATGTAATTCCCTACTCCTACACTCCATGTAATTCCCACCCACAACCATGTAATTCGCTACCTACAACCATCACACACCATGTAATTCCCACCTACACCCATGTAATTCAAGACCTACAACCATGTAATTCCCACCTGTAAATGTACCACATGTACCATGTAATTCTAATCTCAACCATGTAATTCCCACTTGCACCTATAATTCTACAACCATAATTCAAAGACCTAAGCACCCATGTAATTCAAGACTCTAGCACCCATGTAATTCGGTGACATAACCACACCCACACCATGCATCTAATTCACAACCATGTAATTCCTACCTACATGTCCATGTAATTCCACACTCCACACCCATGTAATTCATACTCACACATATGTATCCACATGAAATGCACTTCACACCCATGTAATTCCACCCCAACCATGTAATTCACACCTACACCCATGTAATTCACAGACCCATAACCATGTAATTCCACTCCTATACCCATGTGGCCCACACCACTCTACACCCATAATTCCCACTCTTACACTCCATATGTAATTCAGACCTCCAACCATGTAATTCCCACCCATAATTCCATGTATTCTAGACCTGCAACCATGTGATTCCCACCCCACACTCCATGAGTCTTCCCACCTGGCACACCCACATGTTATTCTAATTTCAGAACCATGTAATCTCTAATTACACCCATGTAATTCCCACCTTACACCTATGTAATTCCCACCCACACC